TGTTTACTAATGTTTTCACAACTGTTTTCATAAACCAATAAGCTGTGAACAGAAATGTGCGATATTTGAACATCAATTCCTTTAGATATTAGAAGAAGAGGTGCAGGGGCGTCTTCAAACAGAATGAATCGTCATTGATTTGTGGAACATTCCACTCCCCAACTTCTTATGAAGCTACAGAGCACAGTTGCTTATGTACTATATGACAGCCAGTGACTAATGAGAGGGGCCCTCTCAGCACGCACGCACGCACGCACGCACGCACCACGCACGCACGCACGCAGAGAACTATCATGTCCTGTCTATCACGCCAACCAAACCTGTCAGTTATGGGTGGCAGTCTTATCAACGGGCCAGTGTCTATGCAGGTGTTTGTGATAACCTTTAGGTCAGCTGTTCAAACCCAGGTGTAAGGACTCTTCAGCCAATCAGTCCTCTAATTAGTGACCTAATTAGGGAGTTGCAGCAAAAACCTGCATACACACCGGCCCTTTGCGGATAAAATTGGCCACCCCTACGCTAGGCCATCATTTTCTGAAGGGGCACTGACTAAGCAAACTACTGGTGTCCCCCCACCCCCTCACAGTTCACGGCAAAGTGAACTTGGCAGATGAAACTTGCCTGGGGTGCCATAGTAAAACAGGTTGGCCGCTCAGCGCTGCTCAGTAAGTCATTCCTCACTGTATAAAAATAAAAGAAAAAGTATTTAACCAAATATTTTACAGGTAATCAGTGCTGATAGAGGGAAACTTGGGGGGGGGGGTGTTCAGGTGATTGGACTGTAATGATAACTGTGCGTGAAGGACTCCCTACTCCAGTGAGTAACCAGTGACGCGTGCGATTGTAATACCACAGCCGCATGGTGTAAACAGCACTCAAGAAAATCCCACAGGCGGGATCTTTCCCTTTTGATCAGTGGCGCAGATAGTTAGCAGAGTACAGAAATAGCCGGATTCTGCCCCTCCCGCTAGAACTCTGCTCTGATGGAGTAATAAATGGCCCAAATAATCATCCCCGTCAGTTGTGAGCCTTTCAGAGGACTGGGTCCAAACGAGGCCAACGAATGATTTCCTCAGCAGAGGTAAACAAGACAGGTGAAAAAAGCAGGGCATGCTAACGAGCCGCCCAAGTTGGCACTGGGCAGCTGTCGCAGTGGCATCGGTGCTGCCCGTCTCTCTCAGCCCTGAGGTTCTAGCACTGGGGACAGACATGAATTTACATAAGGAAAACTGGAGCCCCCCCCCCCCCCCCTGCCTCCCATCCTCTGTCCGTTGGCTGTGAATTATTCAAGCCTAGCCGGCCCATGGGAGCAGTTAACTGGTGATAAAGCGGGTGGCATCGCGGCAGGGAGAGAGAATCTCATTTCCCCAGAGCAGTGGGTGCTGCGGCTGACTGCGGGCTGCAGAGGTGCTTCCCTCAGAGGCCACATTCTGCCGCATCTTCCACCAACAGCTCCATTATGGACAAAAACAACATTATACATAGGAGATACAAAGCGCCTTCGCCAGCAAGGCCTCTGCGTTCTTATCTAAGGTGAATACAAGTGAAACAGCGGCGCAGTCCCAAGACCCGCTGAGAGTTGTTATAACTCGCCTCAGGGAATCCAGAGAGTGACGCCTTTTTTTTTTTTTTTGTTTTTCTCATGGTAACGACGCTGTTCAGTTCCTTCGACGTAGAGCGGCTATGCGCTAAGCTGGACTTGCAGGCATGCAGGTGATGGCATTTGTGCATTGCATTTTTTAATTTAACATTCAGGTCAAAGCACTGTGTCCAAAGGGAAAATATACAGATGCTCCCCAGGTTACGACGGTCTTTGTTACGATATTTCGGCTTTATGACAGGTACGATGATTCAATAAATTACATGAGCTATTCAACAATGTGTAAATGGTTTTGCCCAACTGGAGGATAATGTAAGTGTTCTAAGCATGTTTAAGGTAGGCGAGGCTATGATGTTTGTTAGGGTAGGTGTACTATACTAAAACGCAAACACAAAACAATATTCTCACCTTATGATAGGTTTATCGGAATGTAACCCCATCGTAACCTGGGGAGCGACTAAATTTACGAATGCAGACTAAATTTAAAAAAATCATGGAAATGTGATTTTTAATATCTAATAACGTGAGTAGCAGCTGCTACCTGAATAAAATGTAAATATATAGACTGAATCTTCCTGAAATCTGAACCTTCCTGACTGAAAATTCCCCGCAGAGAGAATAGACTGAGTGGAAATTCATACAAATTCTGTCCAACAAGGGAAAGTCACCAGGCTGAGAGAAGGTTGTCATCGTCAGGCGTCTCCAGCTCGCAACGTCGGGATCATAAGGTGTAAATATAAAATGGCCACTCCTCCCATGTGATGCGTGAAACTATATTGTGCAGAGGTCCTGGGGGCTTCAGCTCTAAGCAGTAACCCGATTTTGTTGTGGCGTCCCTGGGGCCACACTCACAGACCACACCCAAGAGAGCTGCTGCTGCCACTTATCTGCCAGATGCTGCTGGTAACGCAGGGAGCAGTACTACAACACAACTATTTTTGCCCTCTGAAACAGGAAATGATGAATCAAGAAACGAGAACAGCAACTCGCTACCATCATCCATAGAAGGGAGTTCTGAGACCACACCTGCCCTAAATCCAGCATCGTCTTGCTTTGAGCAGGGACTCGGGACAAAAATCAATAACTCCCACGACATACAGCTTGGCAGGATTTTATGTCCTCTGATCTCCTGGATTGCCTTGCGGCCCTGGGGATGCAGTTCTGATAACCAATGATGAGCAGATAATAGGAGGCACTAAGTGAAGTGACCACCTGTACGAGGGACAACGGCGTCTCAAGGCTCCAGTAAAGGCGTAAGGGTTCGTAGTCCTTCCCTTTCCCTTCCTGTTAAGTACTCTGGGAGGTCGGGACCAGGCTGAGCTCAATACCCTTAAATGACATCAACTATGAAATTATAAGAGCAGAAATGCAGTGGCAAATGTGCAATAATTTCATAGGAGGCCTCTGGGGAACCAGGAACCTCAGAGTCAGGAAGACAGAAATCTAATGTTTACATTGACCTACACAGAGTCAGAGCCACAGCATGTCCTGTGAGCGAGTGCATCTCAGCTCACATATGTGCATACAATGGAACAAATGTAATTAGCGTGTTTCTTACCCGAGACACACATTTAATTCATCTACCAGCTGTACGTTTCACTGGAATAGCAGAGGTTACAGCCCACACTCCATGCTTTGATCTCGGAGGATCTGTTTGCTATGGATCAAGGAAGAAGCAGAGTTTCTGTTCAAGACTTATGAACATTAATGAGGTTTCATTTTGCACTGAACACACACTCATTTGGTTTTGCACAAACCATCCACCAGATAAATTCCCCTTATAGGGACAGCACCTGTGACTCCATCCAGCATCCCCATGGGGCATGACAGAAGCAGCACAGATGTGTGACTTCTCAGCACCGAGGCTGTCGTCATCCATCTCTGGGCAGATTACAAAAAAAAATGGAAAAAAAAAAAAACTCAGACCACTCAGAGGTGAGTCTGTTTACTTTACACTGACTTCCAAAGACAATGGACAACTTTGCACGGTGAGGCAGCAGAAATTCAGGTCATCAAAGTGGAAAGAGTTCCGGCTCATTGACTTGAATCCAGAGCAGGACGAAGACGGAAATTCTCAGTCCCTCCCCCAGAAAGGAGCGTTGTCCACTGGCCGCAGAGCGACAGCTGCGCCGATGAACGGCTACGTCTTGCCTGCAGTCAGGGAGATGATCATCCGACAGCAGGAGCACAGGCAGACAGCTGGGCATTTTGGGAGGGGTCCTTCGCTTCACAAAACACAGGGATATTACATACGGTGAATTACAGGCCGTAGGAAGCGAGTGGGAGGGGGCTGCATTTCATGAAGTGAGATTTTAACGTTGACAAAAGGCATAATCTGAATAGGTCTTAAAAAGGGCATATAACTGAAGAAAATGCAATTGTTCAGGCGTATATATAATTCATATAATGTTTTCCAAATAAACAGCTAGACATGCATGCATCAGTTTCATGGGTATCAGCTAAGCAACTGCGGAACACAAAAATAATTTCAGTACTTCCAAGATGTTGAAGTTCCTTAACATCATTTTTCAAAATAAAAGAAGCCTTTATCTGGCCATGAACCCAATTACAGGCAAGCATTTCCCTTCTTGTCACATAACCCACGTCCTGATCTCCACAGGGCCAGGCAGGCCGGCCTTCGCCGTGCTGTGACCTCGCTCCGTGATTCAGCCGCTCACTCTGAGACCCCGAGGTAGGACTGAAATTTCAGCTATGCTCATCCACCCTAAGCAGGACTTTTAAGGACCTCCACCTTTGCCGCACTATCCAAGATTCTCACTTACCGTTCGATTCCAAGTGTTATATTATTAATAATTAAAAAGACAGACTGCTTGAAAGAATTGTTGAAGGTGAAAGCGATCTTTTCTTGTTTGGGATATTTGCAGTTCATTTAGCACCATCTAGTGGACACTTTGATTTACTGCACTTTAATAAGCAACTATAAGATGATATTTCAACAAACAGCCTACCTCCTTTACTGCAACAGGCAGCGTACAAACTCATTCTTTGGCAGTTCTGGTTTGCTTCTCTCTGAAGGAATTTGTATTATCATCGAAAGCCCCCTTTCATGAACTAAAATCTGCATTTTAAAAATGTACAGGAGCAACTCCAAATCAAAGCAAGAACAGTTTAAAAGTCACTTAACAGTTAACAGATGCTTTTGTGCAAAGTGACATATAGGTGAGGAAAGCTCGGGGTCAGAACACAGAACGTAGGGCAACTGGGGTTTAGGAGCCATGCTCAGGGGTCCAATGGTGATAAGGTTACTAGTCACAATATTCAAACCCACAGCCCTTCAGGATATGGGTATGGGGTCCTATCCTGCTAGGAAAGTGCATGTTAAAATAGAGCATTAATGTCAACAGGCACATAAAGTTAAGACAAAAAGCAGATCACTAAGTAAGTAAAATATGAAAGTTTATTTTCATACATGTGTAAAAGAAAAGGGGAAAATTTAGCCATGCTCTGGGTTACGGCCATGCTACAGAAAGTGTCCATTTCATTGTTTCTTCCAATTTTTCCCAGTTCAGCTTAATTTGTTACTTTACAAAATATAATTAGTCAACACCCAGGTAATTAGAATGCTAATAAAAGATACTAAACAGGATTTTGCATTTCCCTAAGTGGGAAACTAACAAGCAGTAACCCTGCTCCTTCTGTATTATGTAGAATCAGTTAATGTAAGCTGTGTTGGATTCGGGACCGAACTACTGTTATGTTCCGTTTCAGTTTGATGTGGAACTCTGTTTAAGATGCAGAACAAACAGATTAACCCACAGAGTACTGATCAGTTTTAAAGTAAATACCAGGATCACTGGTCACCAAGTCCCATTAGATGTGAAACATTACATAAGAACAAACATTTTTTAAGTTCCAAATTAAATCTGAATATCATTTAAAAGAAGACAGCTGGGCGAATATTTCAACAGCAAGATATGACTTTGCAAAAATAAACAAAACTGCTGAACAACTCAGCATTAATGCGCAACCACATAATTAAAAAAAGAGAAAAAAAGTGTAGATACTACACACATAGACAAAATGCTGCTAAAAAGCAGCATAAACCCACAGTTACCTGCCTAGAGACCATCCGACTGCATCTGCCCCAAGAATCAGCTCCAGAAAAGGCCACGGAGGGAGGAATTGGGCTTCACTCACCCATTACCTCATCTCCCAAAACCCATGCCAAGATACTACTTTTGGTTCATAACCAAAACAAAAATATTACATTAAAAACATAACCTTGATTTTTATTTTTTTTGGGGGAGAGACACAAATCATAAGATCTCTGGGCAGACCTGTGTGCTTACGACTTACAATTAAGGGTACAGTTCTGTGCTGTATATCCATAATGCTGATGCTGTGATGGCATTGGGTGACCGAGAACCGCCTCCCTCGGAACCAGAGTCAAGCAGGGGGCGTGGCCTGCAGTGGTGGAGCGCTCACTGGTAGAGCGCTCACTGGTAGAGCGCTCACTGGTAGAGCGCTCCGTGGTAGAGTGCTCAGTGGTGAGCTCTCTCACTCACGACGTCCTGGAGGCGTTTCAGCAGCACGTCCTTGCTCTCCTGGCACGGTCGCTTGGACGGGGAATCCGGGTAGTCACCCTCCATGGTGAAGACCCGCTTGCGGCTCACACCTCCTTGCCGGATCATCCTGTTGATGTCGTTCAGCTCCTGAACACAGTGGGAAGGGGGACAAATTACGTTTTATTCACTTGGCAGGTGCTTGCGTCCAGACGTGCAGGGGCTAAGTACAGAGAGGCAACGTGTCCAGTATCCTTATTAGACATCCGCACAGTTGCTGTTAGCTGGATCTCCAAACTGCAATGGACAGAAGGATTGAAGGAACAGAACACACTGCTCTATGCCGGAATGGCCATGAGACCCACGCTGGGCAGAACTGCAACTTGCTGTCAATCACAGCAGACCAACCAATCAAAGTCCTATGTCTATGTCTGAGCCTGATAGGTGCCAACATAAAGAAAGATATTGGATGACAGGGTGAGGGGGAGTGGACTTACCTTAGAGGGGCTGCCGTTGAACTTGTAGGTGAAGGCAGAGCTGGGGGTGATACAGGAGCCGTTCTTGTGTGGGGAAACGTAGATGAAGTGCCTCTGGGACACGCGGCGAGGTGACAGTGGCTGCGCCCTCACAGACGGGAACGGGGAAAGAGGCGGAGCCTCTGCCTGAATAGGGGAGAGGACCGTTCACATTGGCAGCCCCGAAGGTTACATCAGAACCAGCAGGCTTGCTACTGTGTGGGTTTTGATGCAGTCATCGGCTTTTACGAGACAAAAGGTTAGTGCTAACATATGTAAGCCGAAAGGGCAGGTCGAAAGCTCATTTTAAAATCGGTGGAAGGACACCATCACGGAATGAGGGGGAGAATCGATACACAGGAAGAAAGGCAGTTTAAGATGGACGTGATTGTGTAGAACATCAATAATGAAAATGTACCAGCAAATTTAACGCAGACAAGAAAACCCCTGTGGTACCCTACCCTGCTGTCTGTGCTGGGAACGGCGTATTTGACCGCGAAACCCTTCATCCTCAGGACATAGACAGAGTTGTAGAACTGGATCAAGTCACCCCGCTCCTCTAAATCTGCTTCTGATTCCTTCTCAGCACCTGCAACACACACACACAACAAAGCAAGGTCAGACACATTAAAAAAAAAAAAAAAAAAAAATCTAATGCGCGAACTTGGAAAATGCATTTGAAGACAAACTCCCTGGGTGGAGCAGACTGTGTATCTGCTGAAAGGGCATTCAGGAGTGTAGCAGCTTTCCTGCTCTCTGAGGGTCATCCACAGCAGCTTAGCTCCAGCAGCCAGCTGCAGAATCACCTTCCAGCAGTTGCTCTCTGGCCCCATTTATGCCAGAATGGATGACTCTGCATCCTCAGCTTCTTGGCTCTGGCACCATCACAATGTTTTCTGTGGCCGTTCAGCATGAGTTCACTGCACCATAATTGAGCCTTTGAACGTATCTGTTGATGCAGCACTTAGTAATTCATTTTTCAGTGAGAGTAATAAATTAGTATCAGTGGTGGGCACAGCTAACAAAAACGTTAGCTTCAACAACTGCTAATCCACTAACTCTAGTTTCATTTGATAATGCTAAACTGATAAACCACTAAAAAAAATATAGCAAAAGCTCATGATAACCGCTAACATTTATTACATGAACTTAGCTTTCATACCTAGAGTGCTAAAATTTTAGCCTATTTGACACTGAAGTTCCAGCTGTCGGACTGCAGTGATTACCAGGAGATGTTTAGGACTTACCCAGTTGGGTATTGTTAGATTCTGTATTCTCCAAAATGAATCTGTTTTGAAATTTTCTATCTATGAAATACCATTTGCGAGATATAAGCATACATGTTGGAGAAGCCCTATATCACAAATGGCCCATGATGACATTTTGCCTTCAGTCAAGCCGCTAAGGGACTACAAACATGGCGCTGTTTGCCCAGCTGTTCACCGAGGAAGAAGGGTCTCGGCTCCTTATTGGTCTACAGCACTGACAATTAGAAGTCCGATAATACAACCGGGGGCCTGTACTATGAAGCAGCATTTATTACGTAACCAGATAACTTGTTGGATTTATGGTAGTCTGGGGTAAATGTGAGTGAAGATAAAATTCTAAATGCTAAAACACTTCTTGATTTCTCCTTTCTGCTATACTTATAATTTGTATTGCTGTCAACAAACAGATAACATGTCATTTGTATTTCGGCACCGGGACCAACTCTTGATGCATCGTGTACGTCATATAATTTCACACTGACATTCAGTACTAGACAGGCCCTCTGACAGGCTGATTTGGGTATGGGGAGTCCCCCAGGTTAACATCATTCATATTCATGACCACAACTGTTTGCCCAGGTAGAGACAATTGAACAGAAACATTGACATACTTAGAGAGCTATAACCTATTTATTAAACAAAGGAATTTGTGAACGACTTGCAGGCAAATGTTGTGCACAGCAATGAATGCACTTAGCATTTTACGCCCATTCTGAATGAAGTTTCTAGAGTTGCCAGAAATACTAATTCGCTAACGAAAAAGTCAGCTTTGCTAATTAACAGTTAACGGATTAGCGGAAACCCTGCCTAACACTGCTTAGCATCCAACATGGGTAATCAGGCACTCCGATTACATGGCTGTGAAGACTCACGCAGGGACTAACTCTTCACCCTGACCGACAAATCACATTGGAAAAGGATCTTAATGTTGTCCCATAAGATTTTAATTTGCAGCATTTCCTCTAAAAGGGGAGTGCCAGGTCCTCGGTGGTGGTGGTGGTGGTGGGGGGGGTCACTCACCTTGCTCACCAAGCTGGTCTGTCCCTGGCTTGTTTTCATCAGAAAGCTGTTCCTTGCCTTTACACCGAAGGAGGACACTCCGATAAACCTGGTTATGGAAAAGGAATATTGGGTCAAAACAAGTTTTATCAACAAGCCATTGAAGCTATCATAACCAGACATTTGAGTGGAGTTGGGGCAGTAAGGGCATCACTCACATGGCTGTTGGCCTGTGGCTGGCTGCGGTAGCACTTCATGATGTCCTGAAAGGTGCGCTCCTCCTTTGTGATCTGGGAGGAAGGGGACAGTAGGAGGACATTAGCGGGATGCCAGAAGATACGGATTAACGCAGGTATATGGAGACAGGGTGGCGCCCCAATCACCTTGGACACAATGTACACGGCGCACATCAAGAGTTGGTCCAGGTGCCGGTCCTTCATCAGGTCCGTGCAGTGGACGACAGAATGCTCGAAACACGTCCAGATCTTTCCCCGGTGCTCTGCTGAGATGTCCAGCTTCAGGCACAGGTCCCGCAGCCGCACGCTGGCCAGGTGATACACCTGCATGAACCAAGGGGGGCGGGTCCTCACAGGTGAGAAATGTTTTGCGGCCTGGAGGTAGTTTCCATGGACACAGAAACAAACCTGACTGATGTGGAGATGAAGAGCTTTGCGTTTCAGGTCATGATCAGCCTAAGGGAGCAGGAACATAGCTGCTCTTTTCAGAATATAGATATGAAGTGGGAAAAGAACCACAAATCAACAATGCAGGTGGCAGCTGGAACATTTCAGGCAAGAATCAAGGAATTAGAGCCAAATTCTGACTAATTCTTCAAGTTCTGCCTGGAGACTGCGGATAAGAATTGCCGAGCTGCAGATCCTTTGCCAAAATTTTTATAAAAATGAACAAGACATACACAATTTTCACAATACAGAAGCATCTCTGTGCATTTGCAATAAGCGCATTTCTCCGGTGCCATGTGACACCTCTCAGAAGTGAGATTGGTCCCCATATCACGGCCTTGACAGCGACAGAGTCTGCTGGACCCTGAGGGAGCTGCACATACAGAGCAGGTGAGCCCAGGGGGTCTGCATGGCTCCCGCTCTGTCCCAAATCAGGGATACAAATTAAAATATGGACCCAGCTGTGTCCCACTCAGAGCCAAGCTGACAGCCAACTTCTGTCACACACATTCATTAAATCATGCCAGAAACGTGTATAAGGGCTTTTCATCCAGCTCCCCTCTCAAGCTTACATGAAGTCCATTACACTTAAATCTGGAAAACGTGAAAGCGACTCATTAGTTGTGATGTTTGAGGTGATGTGAGAGTATTTAGGGGATGCCCTGGATCACCTGCTGATCCCCCAAGGCTGTCCTGTTTCTCACTAATATCCATCCCATTCTTGCCACGATGCAGTAACACTGGCATATTCAGTGTGCATGCACCCCTCCCCACCCCACCCCACCTTGCGGAAGAACAGTGCCAGTGAGCCAGTTCGCCGGGGCTTGTGGGTGCTCTGGGCATCAGCGGGCACGGCACCCAGGCCAGGCCGGCCCGGGGAGGCAGTGAGCAGAAGCTGAGCCGTTAGGGGCACAGACTCGCTGGGCTGCACCTGGATGATGGTGATTCCCCCGAAGTCACTCTTCAAGCCTGAGCATAAAAGGGCATTAATAAGGATTAAGAGTCTCTGGGGCTGGCAGCTGTCCCTAGGTGGAGGTAAAGGTCTGCGGTATAAACCATGCTAAAATACACCACAATTTCAGGGGCACAAAAAATTTTGAGCTTTTACAGGCAAGACAGTTAATGAAACTACAGAGATGTTTATAGCTGTTAAAAGATGCCTGTAAGTGAGATGGCAGACCACGCCATTGTAAACACTTTTAGAAACTTGTAAAAGCTTTTAGCATGTTAATGAATCCCGGCTTTTCCACAGTATGTATGGGCACCGTGTCTTTTGCAATATACATATACATCACCTTCCACCGTGCGCCATTCTTATCATTTGGCAAACGTGTCAGGGACGGTTGCTTGCTTAACTTTGGATGTTGTGCTGGTGCTGCGGGTATTTTAATTTCGCTGAGAGCTGCACTTCTCCCACTCCGCTGTGTGCCTCTGCTTTAGGTGCTGGAATAAATTTGTCGTGCTGCTTCCTTTGGTTGCAAGTTTCTAAACAGACTTTGCAACGAGGACTTGTTTGGTCTGTGTCCGACGGCACAAAACCGAACCATTGCCATGTTGTTTGTGAATCCGCTACAGTGTTTGGGTGCGCTGCGCTAATGTACCCGTGAACAACGGTGCGTCGTATTAGTTCCGCTTTTGGCGCTTGCGTGTAAAATAACTAATAAAAGCGATCGTCATAAAAACACATGGTCCTGAACTGTAAATTTGAATTAATCGATAAAATCGATGTATCGCCCACCGCTAATTGTATGCGGTGTTTTAATCATAATTTTTAAAAGAATAATAATTAGTTAAAAAGAAATTACTGATAAAAAATATTTTTTCATCAATTACTAGACATTTCAGGGGACCCCATTTGAATTGCAGACGACCCACATGGGTCACAACCCCAAGGTTGAAAAACCCTGGATTAACATTAAGACGGGGGTACCTTGCATGGGTATGCCAAGCTGCTGTGCATTGGCGGAGGCAGACATGGTGATAATGGTGTGTGCTGGGGACCCGGGCACGACCTCGGCGGCACAGGGGGACGTGGGGATGATCTTTAGCACGCCACCGGGGGGCAGGGGGACCCGCCTGGTGGGCGATCCTGGCTGGGCCAATGACACGTCGTCTCCAAACAGACGCCTCTTAGCGCTGCCGGCCAAGGGGGAGCTGTACCGGTCGTGAAGCGAGATGGGGGAAGGGGGCACATCTGCGGTTGGGAGGGGGGGCAGAGCATGTGTCAGACATGGGGAGAGGGGGGCTCTCAAGCTCTGGGACCCCCAGATAAAGACTACCCCGCACAGTGAATTCCAACAAGCCCAGCACCCTCAGATTGAATAACACTACAGCCAATGCCAGAACTCACAGTGAAGAGGGTAAATCACAGAAAATCAAGTTTACAGTGAAATAACATTTTTATTTCCTCACTGTCACAAGACATTCAGGAAGCTTTCGACTTTATACTGCAGTGTAAACCAAAGTAGCTGCATAATCCTTACAGCTCCAAGTCTGCTTAAAATACAGCTGTATCTGATGTCTACTCCTCCAGTGACTAATGAAACGATTAACTTCAATTATTTTTCAAATGCCTCTAACATGAGCAGAACAACTACTTTTCAGTCAGCATGTAAAATGAAAAGATTCTGTACAGAACAAAAAAAAAAACGGCAATTATAAAAAAAACACGGCATGAATAGTTTAACTTGTTAGACGCATCTGCTAAATAAGACAAATTATATCAAATTAAAACAGTCATTTCCTACAACACGGATTCTGGCAGTGAATATGTATTATGAAGAGATTTTATGTGGAAGTGGCACTATAACAGAAAGTGACCACACGGGGACCTCACCTTTGCGGGCACTTCCACTTCCGCCCAGACCGGTCCTCACCTCCCTGATGCGGGGGTGCACGATTGGGGAGAGGGCCACCAGGGGCAGGTGTGCCGGACCACTGCAGCCCCCCGTCTCAAAGCTGCTAGGGAAATTCACCTGCGGAGGGAGGGATGCTTATGACGACGACCTGCTGACTGAAATGCGAGAGAAAAACGGCAGCAGAAGCCCATGTGTGTCTGAAATGTAACGTCAGCGGCCACCATATGCCACTCAATGCTTAATAGGGCTGTCATTTCACGGTTTCGTCACTTTATGCATTTGTACTCTTATTAAAAATGCACTGGCTCTACACACAACCAAACCCAAAATACGTACATGCACCGGGACCAAGTTCTGACTTAAAAACTAAAAATCAAATGGCAAATATGACAGTGGCCTATTTCCATGACATGGGAAACACAAATTGCTCTCCAGGCAGATACTGCCTGCAGACACCCATCAGCTGCAATGTCCTCCTCCCAGGTGGGTCTCACCTCTTTCACAGCAGATACTTCCCCGAGGAACCCTTTCGGAGTTATTCTTACCTCCTCCACCGTAGGGACCTTCATGTGCGCAGCGTCCAGTGCCTCCCACAGTGCAGAGTCACGGGCCCAAGCTCGGCACTCCAGGACCTGCTCCTCGATGCTGTTCAGGTGCTTCACCGTGTCCCGTGAAAGGCCCTCCTCTGAGCGGATGAACACCTCGATCACCTTGGATAGGACGGGGGAAGATTCAGGATGCGGTTTGCAGAAAGCGCTTTGCTGGGACACGGGTCACGACGGCGTCCACGTACCTTGTAGAAGTAGAAGGGCCGCAGCCTGAAGACCTCGATCACCCAGGGGAAGGTGTGTTGCGAGCTGTAGGAAAAGAGAACAACCTCCAGGCAGCAGGCCATTAGAGAGCGGTGAAAGATGTCCTGCTCCAGCAGAACCTGTGATGTGACACACAAGAACATCAATCCCCAAAATGAGCAAGACGTAACACAAAGGAAAATTTATTAAAGCAACCCACAAAGATGTCAGATTGCTACAGATGGAGCTAAAGATTACTTTCCTGTCAGGGATATTATTCAAACCAGAACTTGCTACTTGGGGTTGTTCAGGAACTAGGTACCCAGGTGGAACAGAAACAACACTACAGTTACGTGAGGCGTTTGTTCAGAGCCAGATAAAAAAAAAAAAAACTGCTCCGGAAGAGGTGGTCTGAATTAGTATTTTAAACACCTTTAATGTAAGGCAACATGATAGCTAGACAACCAGCACCAGCTGCTGGGGAATTTACTTACTGCCATGTCTTTGCCCTGCAGCCGGCGAAGCTCCTGGACCATCACGTTCTCCAGTACCTTGTAATACAGGATTTCGGCCAGCTTGAACCTCTTCTCTGCAAAATCTGACACGGCACCAACATGGTCAGGAGATAACATAAACCCAAAAGCAACAGCTTCCGCAGCATCCCATGTTACTCGTGTCAGTAAAAGTAATGACGCCACGCAATACAGCGCCCTCACCCATGTGAGATCCCGGGAGCTCCTCCGTGTCCTTGGTGTAGTGTTCCCGGAACGTCTCCCCCAGGGACTTCACTCGCTCCAGAATAGCATCTGTGGGATCTCGAGAGCACGACCTGGAAATAAATACCGGCAGCGAGTAAGATGTGGAGCAGCACCAAGGGGAGGAGTCCTGAGGGAGACACTTCTGATGCCTTTTGGTAAGCGGGTAGTACATGGCGACTGGAGAGGACCAGACCATGGACAGCAGGGAACACGCCTGAACTTCCAGGCGGTCCTACTCACTTGAAGATCTGCAACAGGGCCTCGCTGGGGGCATTGCGCAGTCCGGACACCATGCTCTGCAGCCGGCTGACACTCTGTGTGGCCGAGGACACTGGCGTCACCAGGACGTCTTTTTCCTTCAGGTATCCCCGGCCGGTCAGGGGGGTAGAGGGTGCGAACGAGCGCGTCTGCATGGGGGAAAGTAAACGTGACCCTTTGAGCTTCAGCACTGGATATAAAGCTCACCCTGCAGCCATAGCTCCAGTTGCACCTTCTCGAAGTGCTGCTGTAAGTTACACTCCATCTGCAGGCGGCAGGACAGCTGTCCCTCGGGAAGCTCAGTCGCCGTGGCTTTGCGGGGAGTGCCGATCTCCTCATCAGCGTCCGCACCCAAGAACACGCGCTCGTCGAAATCACCGCCCGTCAGCACATACTCCTCATACTCTCGGTTAACCGCCTTGCTGGGGGAGGCAAACAAGTTGGCGATCAGAATCAGAATTAAAGTTTGCAATTAGTAGAGCTCGTTGTAGGATGACTGAGTACACAAACAGAGAGGGGAGAAAGATTAAAGTGGCTAAAGGGAAAGAGCTTAAAAACTGGAAATAAAGTCCAACTTTCAAATAATCTAAAAGCTAGTGCAAGTCACCAAAAAGACGACAAAGAACGATAAAAAGGTCAATTGTTCCATTAGTCTTTAAGCATGTCACACCATTTGTGAATTTTGTCCAGCAATTTCATTATAAAAGACCAGAAAGTACAGAGTGAAGAGACAGAGCTGACAAAGAGGAGGAAGAGGAGAGTGGGGTGGTCATCGCTTACTTATTATCAATGAAGTTAGGGGTGTCCAGGAGTTCAGTGAGCAACAGTTCACTCCCTTTCAAAATCTAGAAAAAAGAAAAACACATTACAGCATAAGTCACCGATAATGGTGTGACGAGGCAGCTGTTTTCACTTTCACTAGTCAGACTACATACGGTAATACAGAAAGAATTTTAAATGGGGGGCTTCCTTGTGACCCAGTGCCCTCACAGAAAGCAGAACAGCCTCATGGTTAATCTACCAGATTGTCAACCCAAAGATTGCTGGTTCAAGCCCAAGGAGAGGATTCGGTCTGAAGACTGCAGACTGTATGTGGAGTTTGCATGTTGCATGTTCAAAGACACGCAGTTAGACTAAACAGCATCTATAAGCTGCCTGAGACGGCACCTCGTTCAAACTGTACTGCTGCCTAGTGCCTTTAACTGTCTGGGGAGACAAGTTGTTATAAGACGGATGAAACTCAAATTAATTCATTTCAATGAGTTGCAGGACAAACTTATAGATTGCAAGAGCAACCTCAGAAAGGACAGTACCTGTCTCTCGAACAGTTTTTTAATGTAGGGTTTGAAATAGTGCTCCTTAATTCCCTTGGCCTCTAGAACTAGTCCATCATGCAGTTCACACAACTTTTCCAGCATGCATGGGGGCTGCTCTGGAGGGGTATAAACAGGGCTAAGGTAGTCCTGATTCTTAGGGCAAGGCAGACCTGCACAAGACAAAAAAACACCCACCATCAACATAAAGCATTAGCTTTTAAAACCACCCCAGGAAAGCAAATCCCCAAATCATGACAGTACTGGGCCGTTACCTTTGAAGGATGGATTGATGAGGTCTTTTCTGTTGGCACACAGAAGTGCATTAGCAAACACCAAATCCAGGCAGCAGAGGAGGAGGTGATACGAGTTCACCAGGTCATCACCAATCATGCGGAAATTTCCTGTGTAGTCGCATCAAAAGTCAATTTCTGCAGTGTGAAGTTACTGAACCACCAACCACATTAACTAAAATGTACAGTAAAAGTTATCATTAGTACTAGTAGAGGTTGACAGGAGAGGGGGCGGGGCAGCCGATTATTAAGCATTTTATGGCAATCGGCATCGGCCGATTAATGAGACTACGTGGCGGACATTGTGATTGCGGCGTGTGGCTGTGTGTGATTGACAAGCAGCCACACGGAGCACTCACTCCGTCAGTTGCTGCATTGTGGTTTATCAGAACCTACAGCGGTGAACCTACACGGCAGCCAAAGGTAAGAGTCCTAAATTCCCCTCGTTTACATCAGTTTCACATCATGAATAATACTGGCACAAGCCAAAACAATCTCAGTTTTGAAACATATTTTGTTACTTTTGTCATAAATTGTATCAGACGCCAAAGAAATAGAACTAAATGTGGTCTTAAAACACTGCATGCCCTTGTTCAACATGTGATTAATATGTAGAGTTAAAAATTCATTTTTGAATGCTATTAATGTTAAATATGTAAAGTTAAGCCGTTGTTTTACTCAATTGTTATTCTTCTACTAAAAATGGCATAATATCAGCCACCACCTCCCCAAAAAAAAGTATTGGCATCGGCCAGTATAACCAGGCCTATAATCAGGATCGACCATTAATGAGTAAACATACATTTTGCCAACGGCATTTTTATCAGTGGGAAGCCCTACCTTTTGTATACACAAAGAGAGTCCAGCAGAATTTGAAGACATCACTTATGTGACAGGGCAGCCGCCTTGGGGGGGAAAAAAAAAGGGGGGGGGGGATAAAAATCAATTACTGAACTGCTACTTACTTAAATTAATGAAACTGAAAAGGACAACGGCGCCCCGAGTGCCTAGGTCACCGGTTAGAGCTGGAGGTTTGATACAGTACCTGTGCTTTCTGCTCCTAGGCTGTCGTGAAGGTTCCCCCTGAGGATTCTGGAACATGCTCATGAAGATGGGTTCAAACTTCCTAAAGATCACCGTTGTCACTTCAAAATTTCTCTCCAAGTGCCCAACCTTATCTCGGAAGTCCTGGGACAAATTAGACATGTCCGACCACTTCTTCATCTTACAGAAGAACTGAATCAAACTGCCATTTTAAGAGGGGAAGAAAAGAACAAGTAAAGTATTGAAACAAGCCAGTACTTACAGGTCTGCTTAAATTATACTGTCTGGACGATTATTAGGCAAGTGCTATTTCTGGAAATAATTTTCAGCAGAATTTGGGGAGTGGAAAGTGAATTGAGAAGTTCTTTAGCTCCAAGTAAGTTTATTTATAGAGAAAACACAAGTTTGTCACAAAGGAAAAAAAATGGAGAAAAAAAAAAGATTATTGTGCACAATTAGTAAGTGTTTGGAAACTAACTGGATTTTTCTCTTCACCATAAACAGAAAAAATAAAAATATATAGTTTCAGTTTTTCAGTCTGCATAAGGAATAGCAAACAATCGGCCATTCTGTAGTTCACTTCACCAAGTTTAATGTCCTGTATACTGTATAGCCACCGTTCTTCTCAATGACCATCAAGCCTTTCTTGGCCAATCTATAGAATACTTTGTTGCATGGGAAGGGGCATTGTCTTGCATATCATAACCTTTTTGAAAGCATGTGACTTCTTATACGAGTGTTTGAAGAAGGTATCTTCTAGAAGTTGACAGTAGATCTTTAAGTTATTTTATGCTATCCATTCTTAATTTGTGATTAATCTGGACTAAAATTGTTGGTCAGTAGAGAAGATACAAGCAAAATACACACTAGCCTAATAAATCTGCACACAATGTAAACAGAAAACAAACCAAATCAGGCAAATTGGGAGTCTATCCTCACCTAAGCTTGGAGCACCGCAGGATTCTGGTGAGTGACACACAATTTCCTTCCATCACCCCCTTGCCCACAGTGGGTGTGCTGCCCTTGCGGCAGGCTGCATAGAGGGCACAGGCAAGCCAGTGGACCAGCTCCCCCTGAGAAGCAGCACCAAAGACACATCAATACTGCACCACACCGTGACCCAAAAAGCAAATGGGCTGGGCTTCTCATGAAGTTTTTAGTTTTTGGTTAAATCAGAGCTGCCATATCAATAAAAGATGCATTTCTGGCACCTTACAGGATTGTGTACATTGGGTCAGATATGTTTCTTCGGGGGGGGGGGGGGGGGGAGCAAGATAATCAAGACAACTCATTGCATCACAGTGATACAAGCAAGACAGGCACTGGAATGATAGAGACAAGTAAGAGGGTTAGCAGCGCACAGCTCAGAAGAGTTCAGGACACATATTTAATATACTGCCTAAGAAAAACACCAGGTCCAGTCATCTGTACAGCAATTTTTCTCCATCCTCCCCCTTCTCAGACAGTTAGGACCTTAAGGGATCAGTCCCCAAGTTTTAGGGACAGTTTTTTTCCCCCAAAGGCAGTAATGCTCTTCAAAAAACGGACTTTATTCCCCCAAGCTCTACCTCCATTGCATCTCTACTATATGTATAAAATACATGTCATGATTATTTAGTGTTATTTTCTATTATTTGTTATTCATTGTCAGGTGGTGTACTGATTTTATTATATTTGGGACTCCAGTGATGGTAAGAAATGAAAGAGTAACATAAATAAATTACTAATAAATTTGCATGTGAACACTGCACAAATTAATCGAGCAAACCCAGTTTCATTATAACAGAAAATAATAAATGTACTCCCACTGCTATAATAGCCATCCCGTAAAATAACATTACTCCTCTTCTGTAGTATACCTCGTTTTATGTGAGGTAACGGCCAGGAACCATGATTAAATGTTCATGATGTACCCATTCCCATCAAACGGGGGTGGGGGGATTAGCCGCGTGGAGCTGTAAACACACACAGACCAATTGCGCATGTGCAATCCCTAGCATATTGGAGTCGAGTTTTAAAAATCCTACCTAACTCCAGTTGATGCACTCATAAGGTATGGTGCTGCTACCTGCCTGGTTCCATTTGAGGCGATTTTCCATCTTCGGGTACTTTTTGCTTTGTCACCAATTCGTTAGGTTGTAATAGTATTAAGTTTGGTTTCTTGAACTAGTTATTACCGTAATGGAGAATTGTCCAACCTGTACGTAAACGAGTGCCGCTACACAGTGCAAACACACAAAATTATGATCACCTAATGGACTCGCAAAACACCAATTCAATGAAAAGGACTAGCCGCAAAGGATATTTCCATTCATTTCAGATCAAACCAGAGATGGAGCGGAAATGTGATTGAAGAAAAATACCAAAATTTGGGGCAATGACAGCATATTACAAATCGAGGCAAACTAAACACAGAAGTATTTTGCCCAACCAAACTTAAATACATGGCGAGTTATGCAAGTCAATAAAATCCACATTACTGTTGCAGCACCAGGATCATGCCGCAGTTTTTTGTATAATTTTTAACTTCAACAACGTATCGTCCCACTGCATAAACACAAACGCGCAGCCAAGCTGTTGACTAGTCCGACTTCGAGTTAGTTGCCCGACAAAAATATTCAGCTGAACAAACTGTCAACTTCACAAACACCAAGATAGAACTACCTTTCCGAGGTTTAACGATTCTGTCGTTAATAAACGCGAGAGATGAGGTGAAGACGCTAGTTTATGTCGAATTTCCCTTACCTCCAGCGTGTACGTATCCCAGACGGCAGTGAAATTTTGCATAGCTTCGTCCGCAGTCTGCTCGTCCATATTCAACTCTTGGCACAGCGCTTCCATGATTTCCCGGGCCGTGTTATCCTCCCCGTTCCCACACGGGGAGTCCACCTCGTTTTCTCGCATCTGAATATTCCTTTTTCTCAAATTGAAACAAAAAGAAAAAAAACTATGCCGTTAGACTGCAACCGCAATATTCTCAGTCATCCACCAGTATCCCACAATCCCCTGCTGGCAAAATTGGCGCGAAAAGGTACAGCGTTACAGGAAGAGACGGCACGTGGGGAGTGGTGCCCTCGGGACCGCCCCTTTGGGCGTGCCTGAACGCGTCCGCTATGGTGGAAGCCACCGATGTCCTAAAACACTCACCCGCTACATAGTATACATCATTTGGTTTAAGTGTAACTTTTAACGATAGGTTGATGTGTGCACACTTAACCCATGAACACAATGTGTTTGCGTCCCCTGTCTTCAGTGTTTCAAATGACACGATTCCTTTTCTGTGCTTTAAAACTAGATATCTTTGTTGTAATTCTGCAGAGGCAGATCTCGGCGCAAACGGGAATGAAACAGGCTTGTTTAGAAAAACACAGAAAAGCCCTTTACTGAAACAACCAAGGCTGAGTTTCCCGAAGCGTTCTTAACGCTACGTCGTTCTTAAGTTCTGTGTTAAAAGATAGACGAACGACGTAGCGTTAAGAAGGCTTCGGGAAACTCACCCCAAGTGGATAACACACTTTGGTAAATGATCACAATCCTCGACTTAACCTTAAATAGTCTGTTGAAATTTTAGCCAAATTATTACGACATGAGGAGTCATAATGCGACAATCATCCGAAAATGGTTTTAAAACCAACGGCTGCACAGTCGACGGTTTCCATTCTAATCCATTTATATATATCTATATATATATGTTTTCTGTGTGGCTAACGCGTCATCACGTAACTAACTAAACTGATATTTCTTCAATTTACGGTACGCCTCTGTTTTAAGCCCCCCCCCCCACCTTTTTTTTGTAGAATGCATTATGAACTTTAAACACAGTGACTGCAATATTATTCGGGGGAGACAGTAAAGAAAAACAAAGTACGATAATTACCATTTTGGAATTAGCAATTTGTAGTCTGAAAAAGAATAAGAAAAAACAGTAAACACTACACGTCTACCATGCATCTGCAGTTTTCTTGTATAACCACATTCTGAGACTGGCGCCCCGGACAAGGTACATACTAGATGGGATGCCACGGCAGGGCACAACACGCCTTTTCCATGACCCATTTCAGCAATATCAGCACCAATGATACTAATATTACCACCACTTTTGTAGTAAAACATTTTTATGCTAAAAGTTAACACCATGCAAATGAATTCAGGAAAAACAGCTTGCACAACTTAAAGATGTGTTCAACTGTGATGCGATGTTCCAGAAATTTGAGAGCTTTCACAACAAACAGGATAAGAAATCCCCCTATAATGAAGAAATGTGTGTGATATAATACTTGCATTTTCCATCCCTCTCCGTGACACTTAAAACCCAGTACACTCTTTTGAAAGTTGAAGGTCATCTTTTATTGCACAATAAAAGATCACATACCATGTTCTTAGTTATGTGATTGGTCCACATGGGAATACAGGAGCTAATTCAACAAAACAAAAATAAATAAAACCACAATGCTGTAAAAAAACATTGCTGCCGATTTTAGACCAACACAGAGTACATTTTATTATTATTGTAGCACATGATCCCAAATACAGTACCCTTGGTTGAATGAAACTAAGAGCTTACAGTACATCCACCTGGGGAACACTGGCCTTGCATGATCCGAACAAAAGAACTATGTTCCTAAGGCAAACAGCTGTGGAAAAAAACCCCAGAACATGTATTTAGTCACCTAACCCCGAGTAACACGCTGATGGGGTCTTTGAGTTCAGGTGCATGGACATAAATGGATACACTTCAAAGCATCCTCACAGGAAAGCCAAGTGCAATGGCGTCAGTGACAGAGCTAAACCCAAAACGCTAAGGGCCTGTATTCTTTCTTGTGAGTACACTCTGTAGCGCATGTGTGCGGTGCACAGCTATTACCGGAAGCTACACTTCAGTCTTCCTGGCCTGGAAAAAAAATTAAGAAGCTACGTGAAAATGTAATTAACGATTTTAGCTCTGACCTTAAGCGCAAGCCTTAGGCAGTGTACTCGGGAGGGATAGGCCTATTCACCAAGTACTTATGTTATCAGTACATTTAAGTTTTTATCTTTTTTAACTAATTAAACTATTCTTGCATCCACCAGGAGCAAAAATATTAAAAGCAAATAAATATGATTATTATTTTTTAACAGGAAACCGTGTCAGAGCCAGAACGTGCCGTAGTAACCAGCAAGCATTTTTTCTGAATTCTTATTAGTCAGAGTACAAGTAAAGAAATGAGAGAGGGGAGAAAAAAAAATGTTATAAGACAGAAGTGTACAATAAATACATCTGAAATACAAATGAGTCCAAAACATCCTGGTCTTTGGATAAATTACTTAAGAGAAAAAATACATAAAGTAAATGGCGACATGAAAAAAAATGAATAAATATTCTTTGACCTTCACAATATTAGTCATATACTGCTCCAAAGTATTATCTCTTTTACATACAAGAGTTTCGGTTTTTGACCCAGTGGGTGGGAGGATGACGTAAACTTGGATTTTACATGTGACCAGGCAGTTTTCCCCAATAGCCTGGGGCACATCTATTCGAAGATACAAGAATAATCAAACATTTTTTTGCAAGACAATATTTCCAACAGGCAACAGTTTGCATTAGGATGACCTTTTAATTAAACACTATGTTCATCTACAAAGTGATACCTAGAACGCTTTTGAAATGCATTCACTCTTTTACAATTGATCACCTTCATTTATTTTATTTCAATTCACCAGTAAAGCAAAATGACCAAGTATAGTCGCAGCCACAACCGGAGTGTTTCGGAGACATTAGAAGAAAGAGAAAAAAAAATAAAAAATTACAAAACGAGCAGCTTTACCTTTTAAGGTTTGCGTGTGATTTTAGCAATTGGTCGTGACCAATTAGCCGATTGTCAACATCACAATCAACAGCGGAACATGCCGCTCAGAAGCGCTGACACCAGTCGAATAAATATTCAACGACTTACATGCCGGTTACCATCTGTGCTTAACCCGTTTATCAAAAACAAATGTTAAACTCAACATCTGGCCGAACATTTTGTGTTTGAATAAAAAAGTCAAACCAAATGCTTTCCACATTAATTTGTAACTGTGGTGGGATTAATGGGGAATTGTGCACACGACCGATGGGAAATTTACATCAGCGTGAATCGCTTTTTTCCGATAGAATCAAGCTCTATACTACATACCTTGATATATACTTTCTGATATGGAGATGTAGAAAAAAACATCTATATATATATAACACTAAATAAGGCATTTGTAATTTTTAATATAATGACCTAAGTTTAAAAAAGGATAAAAAAGAGAATGTCATATTTGGTGAAAGTTTGGCAAAAGCAAAACAAATAAATTATAATGTCACAAGCTGTGACAAGGCAACAACATCTGGAACAACATAGGTGAAGAGGGGCAAGACAGGTGTCCTAAATACAGAACTACGACAAGCGTTCTCCACAGGTGGTGCTGTGTTGATGCGCACGCATGCATGCGCGCATACACACGCAGAAATTAAATTCAATTTTTTTTTTATATATAAAATGCTTCAAATGGCTGAGACTGTTACATTTACAGGTAAAACATTCACCAACAGGACTTTGCAAAAAACATTTTCATACTGTGAAAAGGACGTTTTTTTTTTTTTTTTATTTAGGTGAAAGTTGCCAAATTCAACACCCTGTTTTGAAATTTTAGAAGAAAAGGTGATTTGTGTGTCCTTCTAGAGTATGCTTAATTATCAGAAATACTGGCAATTTCGTGTTTTTTAATACAAACTCAATTAAGTAAAAACAAGACATGCTTGTAAACAAATAAACAATATATAGATCAATTTACATTTTGAAAATCCCTATTAATATCTATTCTAGAGTATTCTAAAATGCATTGGGGAAACCAGACGAAAGCGTTATAATAGGCAGTCCCCCACAGAGTTCAATCAGAGCAAACCCAAACATCTCTCCTTAGTGTGAACAGACAGATGGGAATGGACATATTTTCATTTCTGCACATAAAACAAACACCCTCCCCCCCTTTTACACAAACTCACACACAAACACACACACCCCTCCGCCTACTTCAGGAGGCTCCTGTCCTGTCAGAGTCCACTACGGCACGGGCTCACTGGTCCTGTGCGAGCTGATGAACTGGGGTCCGAATGGGAAAGGTTCGGCTCCGGAAGGCAAGGCGTGCCGGGCCGGCGACTCCCGCCAGATGAGAACATCTTTCTTTAACTGAAACTGAATCGTTTTAAAGAGCAGACAAAAAAAAAAAAAACCCCAAACATAATAAAGAGCAAAGTCACGGCTTGTTCTTTAACCATTTGTTTACGCAAGCAATTTTGACTTGGACATACACTGTTTTCAACACGATGCATTACAAGATTCCTTATTTTCTTTACATATGTATGTACGTACGTATGTATATAGATTATATATATATATTTATATATAATTTATTTCTCTAAAGTTCTTGATTTAAAAAAAAAAAAAAAAAACTGTCTTAGCAGCAAAAACAACAGACCAACCTTGGATGAAATAAAGCCTCAGACAACTTAGCAGCATTTAAAAATTTTTCACTTATTTTTTGAATTTTCTTGGGTGCTTGCTTCAGTAATTTCTTTATTACATACCAGGTGCTTTTTAAAGGAAATGTGTTAGTCTGAGCTGTTATGAGCTTGAAGGGATGGGGGTGGGGGGAGAAGAGATTAAGTGTAAAAAAAAAAAAAAAAAAGTCTGGGAGCGATTGTGTAACCCTGTTACCACCAGGCCTGTGCTGCATAGGTGCCTCTGAGTTCGAAGTGCCCCTCTCCCAAATCTGTAGTGCGATTTCAAATGGCGGCATGGCAGAAACACCCGGAAGCCCACCAAACCGGAGCCCTGCCCCGCCCCCGCCCTGTCACTGTCACCACGGTAAGCAGGAACGCGAGGTGACTCCTCAGTATCAATGACTGACTGCCACGAGTCTCCCATGCAATACGACGGCCGGGGCGGGGTTGGGGGGTGGATTAGTGACCGTCTGAGGTTTGGTACTGGACAAGAGATCTATAAACATGATTAAAGTGGACAAGAAAGGTCTTTACATGAACACCGTCGACTTACACACCACAAACGGGTAATTCTCTTTTACAGTTCAGAAGGAGGGCAGGGGTGACTTTCCTCCCCCACCCGGTCCCTCCTCGTCTGGCTCCTCTCCCTGCCCCCGCGTCTCCGCCTTCTCCATGTCCTCTGCCACTGTGTCCGTCTCCTCGGTGCC